TAATATCTAATCAAGCTTCTATTCTAAAAATAGTTACTTAAAAAATTATTGTAAAGTTTCCGAATGAGAAAGATTATATCTGCATTCAAGGTACACAAATTTTGTTAGTTCTTCATGGTTTTTGTATTTTTGGTATTTTCTTAAACAACAGTGTTCATATTTTGTACTAAAACACCTAATGTTATTTTGTTATGGACTTTAATTATTTTTCATTGCTTACAAAATATTACTCCTGTTTTAAATTTTAATTTTCAATTAAAGAATTCGTTGCACTTACTTCATCATTTATTTTTGATATTAACACTTCTTTTATTATTAAGTTTGTATAGATTATTAATTATCTACTTCTTTAATTGTTTCAGTAAGCTTTTCAACCTATTAATCAAATGTGATAAGTTATTTTTCGATAGTATTTTTTAATGATTCTAACTTATCTGAGACTATTGAGGATTTTTCTCTTTCTTTTAAGTCTGATTACACTTCAACAATTTACTAATTCAACTAATTGTATTTATTAGATAATTATTCCAATCTTATTTCGCTCGACTGAGATGATTCCATTAAACTTTGCTTTAGTTGATTATTTTAAATTGTTTCCTAATTAGATTATTGAAGAAACTCTTATTCTTATTTGAGGAATTTCTAATTAATATTTTCTTCTAACCCAATAATTTTTTTCTGAAATTTTTTTAATTTCTTACTTTTCCTCATCAATTTTAATTTGCAATTCTTATTTTTATTTGGTGATTAACAGTAATTATTTCTCATTTCATCAGCTTCTATCAAATTTCCTCATTTTTTCTGAATTTATTTCATATTATTTATATTGTTATTAGGATATAGAGCATTGAGAATTTTCCTTATCATTTTTCTCTTCAATTACAATAAGTTATTGAAGATAGCCATTTGACATGCCTCTTTCTCTAATTCTCTTTAGAAATTAGTGGATTCAGTAAAAATTTTTAGGTATTACTCTTAAAGTTAACATTTAGACATAAATTCGTTTATTTCAGGACTAATTTTAATATCAGAATGTATGTTATTTTCTATGTTTTATTTATCTAAAAAAAATAAATTACTTTTTTATTCTTACAAAATGACCATCAATTATTATTTGCAAAGTAAATCATGTTTGATCAGGGTTTCTAATTTAGATTTAACATTCTGATAAAACAATTAATCAAGCCTATCTTGCTTATCTTATTGCTAAATTATGTGTTTATTTTTATCTTATTAGCTTAAAAAATCAATCATCTTTTCAACTTATTTTTCATCTAATTCGAATATTTATTTATTCTCTAATTTAAGGAAATCTTAAATCTCTTAATTATTTTTGACAAACTGTTCATCTATAGAAGATAACATTTCTGATAACGAGTGGTTATAATAATCTTTTAGTTATTGAGTTTCTTTTATAACCAATTTAACATTTATTCTCTTCTACAATTATGTTTAGATATCAAATCTTTTGATTATCCAATAAAGGTATTCCACATATTATTCGCCTCTTTTAAGCTAACGTATTATATCTGATTTTCTTGAATACATTATACACAAGCTAATCGACCAAATTTTGGTTCATTATCATTAATATTTAACATAATTATTTCTTTGTCATGCTTGTTGCATCTCTAATCTAGACAAGGAGTTTTCTAATATTATTATCATAAATTACATGTTAATCAAATTCTTTTGTAGGTATTTGGTTAATATTTGCTTATTGGTTCACTAGAACTTATTATTTATATTAAGATTCAATTGATTCCTAGATTAATTAAACGAGAGCTAAGTCCTTTTCCTTATAAATTTGCTGTTTGGGTATATTGTAATTAAAATTCCCTTTATAATTTTTTGATAGAATTTGAATTTCCTCGTCGCAATTATTGATCTCTAACTTTGATTCTTTTGATTCAATTTCGGTTTGGATTTATTCCATTTATTGATCAATCAATAGAAACCATTTTCCAAGTTGTGACTTGATTTAGTTTTTGAATGACTTTATCGATGATGATAATTATTTTAAATTAGTTAATCTAAGCACATTTTCTTCCTTTGGAAGTTTTAAAGATTAGGTTTTCATGTTTTATATCATCTCGGTAGCTTCATTTAGCAATGTTATATTTTCTTTATCAACTCTTTCAGCTAGACACCTTGTGCATAAATATTTGTCATCAATTCTTGTTTATGTCTTCAAATCGACTGCTACAATCTCTAATTTATGAACCTAGCAAATTTTTTTCTCAATTTCCAAATTGGTTTACATATGATAATTTAGTTCATTTTATTAATCAAAAATTTCTGAAAATAAAATATAAATAAAGAATTTAATGAGATAAATGATTAAAAAATAATAGAATTACATAAAATTTGACAAATAATTTGTAATAATGGACAACATACCTCATACAACAAAAAGAAAACAACTCTTTACCTAATAGGATTTATTTGCAAAGCTATTTGAAAATAAGCAATATTTAAAGTAAGTTGTAAATGAAAGAATAGTTTTAAAATAATCAACACTTAAATTCTATTTGATTAAATTTTGAATTGTACTCAGAAAATGTTTGAAATTTGTAACATTACTAATTATCTAAATTAGGCTCAAAAATAGTTATTGCCATGCAATATTTCCTGTTTAATGATCCTTAGACTAGAATACATAAATATATCAATATTTCCTTTTCATTCAGCTAACATTACAAATAAACGAATCTTCATTTATAGCTCTTCTATGACAGTTCAACTATTGATGTTAATAATTCAGCAAATAAGATAAAAAACGAAAATGGTTTTATCATATATTAATAATTCTAAAAGTTTCATTCTATTTTTATTTGTTAGTAATATTATTATTGTTATTTTTGAGTACTAAAATTATATTTATAATGAACTTCCTCATGCTCCCAAGAATTTATTATTTAGTAATTCTATGAACATAATCATTTACTTTTTGCTAATATACTATTTAAATGTTTACAATTAGTTTTATTTCGAACTCTCTTTAATATATTGTAATTTTTTGTTCAACATAGTAAAGAAATGTTTGAAAATTAATAGAGTTGAATAGAAATACAGCATCCAAAAATCATTTTTTTGAAATAAATCCCATGGTGTAGTTTATACCTAGCCTAAAATTTCTCCAATTTATAGGTCATATCTTCCACTACAATATAAATCTATTTGAAGGATGTTAGGTTCCATTATATCCTTCTTTCTATCACAGTTTAAATAGTCACCATTACTCAAATAGAAATTTAACTTTTACTTTTACTCATCTAAAGAATCATAATATTTAGAAGTTGGTTGATGGCTGCTAAATGGAATATAAATTGGATGAGTTTTTCCAATTTCAAATTTATTTGATAAGTTTTAATGCTTCTCCTTATTATTAAAACTAAGCTAAGGTTAAAATGGTATAAGTCTCTTCTTTCTTTGAGTACTTAGCCATTTCTACTTCAAGTTAGCTAAATCAATCGTCGCAAAAGATTATAGCATACCAAAGGTAAGAGGGCAAAATACTAGGAAAATATATGATAGTTAATCGAATTTTATATTAAAGGGTAGCTAACAAACCATTAGAGATGACTGAAATGTAAAATTTACAATAGATTATTTCGATTATTTCTCCATTCTATCCCCAATTATGGAGATTATCTGAAATTTAATTTATCGACATAGAGGCAAATTTTTCTCTTTAATTTTCCAAATAGGATTAAAACTAATTACTATTCTTTGCTTCATTTCAAGAGCTAGCTAAACAATATCCCTATATTAGAATAGTATAGAAGAATTTAAACTATTATAATTGATAAAAATTATTATTAGATGTTAGCAGCAAGAGAAAACCCTGAATAAATGCTGTTTCATGAATAATTTTATATTTATAAAAAGAAGATGGGCTACCTTCCCCTTTTCTAACTTTGAAAACTCTGGGTTAAATAATAAGCTTCTCTGATATTCATTCTAAAGAATAGTTGGATATTTTAAAGAGAAACAACTTGATAGAGGTATACTAATTTGCGATAAATATAATTCTCTCTATATATATGTTTAAATACCAATAATGCTTTTATTGTTCAAATAATCGATAGCAAGACTAACAAAATCTTAAGTTTTACATACTATCTATCTATTGTTAATTTTTAAATTAGTTAGTATAAATTTTATTATGTAGAGATTCTATATTTAAGATTTCCTAACTATTACTATTATCATTCGCAGAAAAAGATAACATTAATTGTTTTTCGATTCTATTAGACTAATTTACTATCTCCTAATGATTAGAATTTTCTGGTAAAGAACGATAGACATAATAAAACATTTTGAACATCTAATCTATGCAAGAACCAATAAAATTCAGGAGAAGTGATAGAAATATATCCATATAAATGAATAGTTGTCCAATAGACAATCTTGCATAGTCAACTTAGGAATCAGCATAATATATGAACATTAGAAACTATGACAAAACATTTGACTTAACATTTGTAAATAGTGTAGTAT